TCCTACACACAACAGGAGCTGATCACAATCAGAGGTGAATTCCGGCATTTTCGCGAAGAAGCCTTATCCGTCCAGAAGATCCAACAAGCCCAACTCGACGTGCTCACCACACAAATCAGGGACACAGAGACTCAGGTGGCGGAAGTCATGTCCGCCACCACAGAACTGTTTCAGAAACTTCAGAAGACCAACGAAGTGGTGGGCAACTTGCTGACGGATTTGCATTCTCTTCAATCTGTGACTACTCATTGTGTTAATTCTCTTCAACTACAAGAAACAACAGAGTTGCCCCCAACGCTTCCAGCAGAAATTGAAGTCTCAGAGTGAAACGTGAGCAGTTGGAAACAAGCGTCTGTGTGCCAGTGTCACTGCAAGGGTGTTGCAAGGGATGTGCAAGGGACGTGCAAGTGACGTGTAAGGGATGTGCAAGGGACGTGCAAGTGACGTGCAAGTGATGTGCAAGGTCCTGCCTCATGCCCTCAAGGTTCCCTGTAGTGCAAGACAGATTCAGACCATACAAGTAGCTTTTCATCATGTCGGTGTCCAGTTTCGAGAGCGATGCTGCCTCTGTATCGGACGTGCATTCTTCCGACTTTTCGTCAGACCTTGCAGCATCAGACCAAGAACGTGATCGACGTGTAGATGTGGCATCAGGTGTTCCTCTGGCCAGTGATCCGGATTCGGCTGATTTTGATCTTGATCATGAGAGCATTAATGCGTCTTCATCCATCGACAGACAGTCTGCGTCTTCGTCCTCTGGTCGATTAGTTCATGCCCCAAAGCCGAAGCAGTCAGTTGCAGAGCAGACCAACATGTTGCAGACGGACCCACCGCGGAAACGCAAACTTCGTATGATCGACGAAGGACCTGACGGTGTGCGCATCAAGATTCGTCCTGCACCCAGTACCCAATTTCGCCGCAGATGGAAGGCACGAGAGTGCTTGGTGACGATTTTTACATTCACAACAGAGCTCAGTTCATTCTCGATTTCTTGAGACAGCATGGCCAACGCACTGCCAAAGAAAAGCAAGGCCCTAGGAAGCGTTTTTCGTCCACTTTGAAACTTGTGCAGTACGTTCTTGACCGAAAGTGAGAGATTGCACAAAGAAAGTGAAAGAAACTAAAGAGTGCGCGTGTGCAATGCTGTGCATCTTCAGCTTTCTGCATGAACCGTCTTGAGTTGCAGCATTTGACATCCAGTGAAATTGTGTAGGTTGCCCAACATGAAGCGCAAGCCCGCGAAGCCAATTTGCCTTAGAGCACGAGCCGCGACTACATTTTTCGGATGTGGGTTCGTGTATGCAGTCAGGCAACCGGACACGAGACTATTACTCTCCACATCCAGTTGTCAATCAACGATTCCATCAACGTTGCCAAATACCTTGTCGCGATGCAGCTCTGGGAGAAGTTCGGCTGGTGGCCTAGGTTGCACACCTTCCAGCTTGTGCAAAACTTTCGCCATCTTCGGTTTACAGAACCTGTAACGACTGCTCAAACCCTTGAACCAGTCGATTTCGTTGTGACGGTATAAAAAGAGACCACCTCCGTGTCAAGTCAAGAGCAGTGACGAGCAAGGGACGTGCAAGCGGATTGCAAGTGATATGCAAGGGATGTGCGAGGTTCGTGCAAGTGCAGTGCAAGAAATGTGCAGAGTAACATGTCAGAGACGTGCAAGTGCTGAGCTGTTGTGAGCTGCTTTCATCAGACATGCAACAGAGTTTTGTTTCAAGCACTCTGAAAATTGTGTAGACCCCGAACATCATGGATTGGGCTGCTTCTGACGTGCTCGAGAACATCTTGATGTACGTGTTGCCGATCAGAACCAGAATCACATTCATTACCCGCCTCGATCCAAATGATGACCCAGAAGAGGCACAACCCATAACCGACACCATGGTGGCGTACACTTTCCTGCGACGTGGGATACAGGAGTTTCGGCTGTCCTCTTCGGTTGAGTTGACCATGGGCTTTCAGTCTTTGCATACCACCATCCGTTTTGCACAAATCAATGCCGTGGCTTGCACCATGTTGAGCAGCCCGTCAAAAAGGTGGATGAGAGCTGTCGTAGACCTAGTACAGGAGCGTTTGCGAGTGAGTATTGTGTCACTGGCCAACGTTGCGTACCAAACTGCAACTCAGTGTTGCATGTACTTCGATGCTGATGCGGAAGAAGCAGAAGTTGAATTGCACTTAGTGCACAGACTGCGCTTCCTTAAGTTTCGTAGCCCACTTTTCTAGGTCTCTTGAGCATAAGACTTTCTCATGAAATTCAGTGAAAAAGCAGCGCGCAAACACTGTCTACATCGCAAGGTGAGTGCGCACTGTCCTGCAAGTGCTGTGCAAGCGATTGAACAGATGCAATGAGCCCGGTCGGGCCTGTGTGTGTCCATCCCTGTTTCGAAGGGTAGGTAAATCTGACTTGATTGAGCAGGGGGGCAAGGGCTCCAGTGATCAGCCTTGCCCAACGAAGCCAAATCACTGGTGTGGATGCAGTGGCTGATCACCACTGTGTACCTGCTTTCGGATTAGCCAGTGGGCCCCCTGAGGCACTGGAGTAACCAACACTAGAGGGACAGCTTCACGTTTGCCGCTGTTGAGTTTCCTGCATAGTTGCTAGGGCTTGCTTCGAGTTGCTGACTTTTCCTGACAGTTTGCATCGACAGATCAGACCTGCGACACGATGTGTCAAGTGTGTGTGTGTGTCTGTGTGTGTTTAGAGTGCACAGGATCTTGCAACGCAGCGCTTTAGGGTTAAGGGTTTATTAGGACACTTAGTTGCAAGCGTCGCGACAGCACACCAAAGCCAACAACCATCACCCAACAAATGCCGCGCAGACCCTAAGCCCCTAGCCCCAAACCGGGAATCTCTTGTAACATCCCTAAACCCAACGCCCGCAACAAAATAGGAGCCACGAGCCCTGAACCTTAAGCGCCTTTCAACCCGATATTTCCAATACCAGTACCACAGACTCAGAACCCCAGAAAGCTTCGCAAAGCTACGGTTTAGGGTTCAGGGTTTACCTTAACCCCGAAAAACCTACATTTTTAAGGACTTATATAAAGAAATCATAATAAGGAACCCTAAAAAAGTAGGTTCTTTAGGGTTCAGGGTTTAGGGGCTTTGCCCGAACTGGCGGATGCGCACTCCTGTAGCCCACAGCCCTAGTTACCCCGTTTCAGACCTCTGAACAGAAAACCCAACAAGCCCTACAACATTAGTCTGACCCCATAAAACCCGATAAAGTTCTTACGCTCTTTTGAGCATGACAAAGTCCTTATAACAGTCCTAACAACAAACAGACGAAAACAAAAACAAAAACAACAAAACAAAGATACGAAACGCCCTGAGCCCACCGCAAGGGTGCATCAGACACGTGGAGGCGGGATCGGAATGCCCAAAGTCGCCGCAGCGATGCGCACCTCTGGGTTTTTGAGGCCTTTTTGGGGGCTCAGGACTCAAGCTTTTGGCTTGCTGGGGTGTAAGGCCTACTTTAGGGGCTGAGCACCCTGGACCATGAATGGTTAACCTTCCCATTATGGTAGGATTATATGAACCTTAAGAGGTTAAAGGTGACCTGCTCAGCTACTACGAGGCAGTTTTGTTAATTCGTGCCAGGTCTTACAAGGCTTGTAGGAAGTGTACGGCTAGCAAGAGTTAGGGTTCAGGCTTCCGGTGTGCAGGCTTGACACACGCTTGAGGCTCGGGTCAAGGTTTAGAGTGATCCGGGTCTTAAAACGTGGTCCGCCTCCCCAACTCTGTCAGCCGAATGAAGGGGTAACTATATCCACGCAAAGGTACGAGGGCTTATATAGGCAATAGTACGCAGGATTCAGGGTGATCGTTTTCGTTGTCTTGCGAAGTCTTTTCAGGGTTGCTGTGCAGATCTCACTGGAAACCCGGGCCTCAGCATTGCAAGCAGAGGTGAGTCCCCGACACTGTAACCCTGAGCCCTTAACCCCGGACCTTGAGCCCTAAATCCCTCAACCTGAAGTCTAAACCCTATAGTACCCTTATAGTAGCCTTTGTGGCAACCCTTATCGTACCACGTAATCCTTCGCCCACCTGCTGGCAAGATGAGGATCTCGGCTTCGAGGATGTCGGTGGAGAAGGATCCTGTGTAGGACTCCTATTTACCAATAGTAGATAATAGGAATAGGGTTCCAGAGGGAACCTTTCAAAGGGTCCATAAGGGTTACCATGAGGGTTCTATGATATATATATATATATATATATATGTATATGTACATATACACTTGTCCAGTTTCAAAGTTAGCCTCTGGCATAATATACAGGTTCTAATGGCCCAAGATGGTTAAAGGTTACCTGCCCTACTGCTAAGATTACTGACTTCCTTGTTTGAGTCGTAAGATATGCAGTTGATGATGTAAACCCCTGCATTACCCACAATCGGGAATAGACCATAGTTCGCATAGTCTGGGGTCACTAAGGTAATGCAGGATTTGAACCATCAACTGTGGGTTTGGGCTTCAGGTAGGCTTGGAGGCTGGATAGATCTCTGTACAAAGCTCTCCTGCAGTGACTTCATTTAGGGACTGAGGTTGGCTGGTTTAGGGTTTAGGGCTTTGCAGGCATTCTCTGTAGGGCTTCGGGGATTGACATTGTGGTTCAGGATTTAGGGTCCAGAGCTTGGTGTTTTAGGCTTAGGGTCTCTGCTGGGTATCGAGGTATCAGCCCCGAACCCTTTGATCCCTGAACCCTGAGCCCTAAGAACTATAGCCCCTCAACGCTTTCAAGTTCAGAGCGACAAGCCGAGACTGGGGCCCCGAAGCCCCTTCAGACCCAGTAACCCTTTCACCCCAAACCCTGAGCCCCAAGCCGCCACAAAACCAAAGCAATAAACCGTCCCAAACCCAAAACCCTGATCTCCTACATCCCGACCCCGACTCCCCAAACCCTAAAACCCCTAAACTCTAACATCCGTAGGCAATGAAATCCCAACTGGCGCTTGCTCTTGCCTCCTGCAGAAGACACTGTCTCTTCATCGCCGGGGCCTGCATGGGCACCGCAATAACAGGGAAAGGATGGGGGGGCAGTGGTCGAAAAACATGGTGGGTTCAGGGTTTAAGACTGTTTTTCGGCTGGCTTAGGGTAGGGACTTTGACCTCAAACCTTTGAGGTTCATTGCTGAAACAACTTATTCTTGCTTTTGCTACTATGTTATTATGCCAAGATTAGCACAACATAGGGGCCTAAGAAATTACCTATACTATGTTTTTGGGGGGTTACTTATTATGAGTATAGTATAGTATACACCAAACCCCATTCTACTTATTAAGGCCGCTGTTTTTTTTAACACCTAGGATGCCCAGTAACCTAGGAATAAAAAGGACTCCCTTTGTGGTATTGGGTACCTTAACAAGGAACCTGGGACTACAAAAAGGGAATAAGGGTGCCACTGGGCATCCTAGACACTGTTTAGGGTTTCGGGCTTGGCAGGAAACCAGACTGCAGCGCTGATGCGAATCAGCTTGCCTCCATGGCCATGAGCCCTGGAATCGCGAGCCCCAAAACCGGTAGTTAGACGAGGGTTCCCTTTAAAGGGATCCTTAAAGGGTCTATACGGGACCTAGAGTAGGGTTCTATGATATAGGGGCCTTAATAATTAGAATAGGGGTTTTGAGGCATACTACTATAACTACAATAAGGAACCCTAGGAATAATATTGGGAATTGTTTAGGCCACTATTGTAAACCCTGACGCCTAGCCCCTTGTTTCCACAGAGGGAACATGAAGAGCTCGTCTGGTAAGAATCCCACTAGGTGGCAGAGGGATGAGAAGCACAAGCAATCATACGAAGCAAGGACCCGGATTAAGAAACTCTGGCCCTTTCGTGCCAAATTATTAGAATTCATATAAGGAAACCGAATAAAGACCCAAGCTTTCTTCATCAGGGGCCTACATTACCAAGCAAGGATCCGGATGCTCCAAGAATACTGTCATCAGTCTTATGGAGGCTCAACCTAGGCCCCAGACCCCTGATAAACCTGAGCCTCAGCAGCCTTCACCACGGTTCACGTAATATTATTTGGGGCCTGAAAAATTAGAATAGGTATTTGGGGCCCGTGATACTATAATTGTAATAAGCAGCCCCAACATAGTATTGGTAATTATTTAGCCCCTACCTATAGTCTCCATTGTAGTTCCTTTTTGGGGTTACCTTTTAAGATCCTTAATATAAACTGGTTAAACCAAAAAAGGAACTACAATGGATACTACAGGTATAAAAGTCTTTTTCAATTTATGCGCCAGCCTGCAGCATCTGCGTACGCCAGGCCAGACTTCTCAGATTCGAAACTGTCGCTTGACTAGCAGCTCATGGTAAGGTACTATGGGGGCCTAAATAAGTACCAATACTATTTTGGGGTTCCTTATTATAGTTATAGGGAGCCCCAAACTCTACTCGAATTATTAAGGCCCCTATATCAGGGGGCTCCATCATTAGACAAGGGTTTTGTTGGGGAAAGGATATGTAATTCTTCTATTACAAACTATTTTCTGGCACAGGGCCCATGCTTACCTGAGCGGAACTTTCATTCAGAACAAGACTCAGTAGTAAAACCTAAACCCTAGATTGGCCACCCCAAACCCTAAACCGTGGGGTAGGGTTGATGGTCGGTTTAAGCCTGCCTTCTCCCATTGCGGCGTGGCTCAGCAATGGAAGTCGGCATCAACGGATGACCTTGGGAGGTTGGCTGTGAGTTATAGTTTGTATAAGCCTTCATAAGGGTTCTGTACGAGTTCCTGTAAGATTTTAACGGGTTCTGCAGAGCTTCTGTGAGGGTTGCTTTACGGGTTCCATAAGGGGGCTTCGAATTCTAGAATGTCACGCATTTTTGCATGCGCGCACACAGGTGTGTGTGTGTGTGTGTGTGTGTGTGTGTGTGTGTGTGTGTGTGTGTGTGTGTGTGTGTGTGTGTGTGTGTGTGTGTGTGTGTGTGTGTGTGGTGTGTGTGTGTGTGTGGTGTGTGTGTGTGTGTGAGTGTGAGTGAGTGTGTGCGTGTGTGTGTGTGTCTGTGTGTGTGTGTGTGTTTGTCTGTGTGTGTCTGTGTTTTTGTCTGTGTGTGTGTGTGTGCGTGTGTGTATGTGTGTGTGTGTGAGTGTGAGTGAGTGTGTGTGTGTGTGTGTGCGTAAGTGTAAGTGTGTAAATGTGGCAGTGTTTAAGTGCGTACTTAAGTACGTGCGCGCGTGCTTCTCACTCTGATAAAACGTCGATGTGCCGGTTGAACACGGATCAGCATGACTAAAGAATGTTATTGCTAGCACGAGAGATATTGTAGTGGCTCATGATTCATTAGTGAGTTTACCGCAAACCCTGATGTCGGTGCCAAAGAGCCCTGACGCAGCAAATCCACGACGAGCCGGGCAATGTTGCGGCTGTCGTGCAGGCCACAGTGGGGCCTGTCCGCTGCCATGCTTAAAGGTAGGGACCATAATGGGCTACCGTTAATTAAATACTTCTACTTAATATTCCGACCCCGGAAAATAAGTTTGTTCAGGGTTTAATAACTTCGAGTGCTGTGCCTCGCGGCATCTGTTCGTAGATCCGAACTTTTACACGTTCACGTTGTTGAGGGAACCCTACACCTAAACCTAAACCCAAAACCCTGAATGCTCTCTGCCATCACACTTTGGGGCGGAGTCCCTGAAATTGGGTCGACGACTCCCGTCCTGCCATCGAAGGACATGCCACGACAACTCAACATCTCCTGGGAGCGGTTTAGGTTTGGGGTTGAGGGTTTAAAGGGTTTTTTTTTTGTTGAACTCCTTTTTCCGCCTCAGGTGACCGTCGACGAAAGACCCTGGGGGCCAGGAGAGTTGGTCCCATTGGAACACAACATAGCCAAGGTTTAAAGGGTTTAGGGTTTAGGGTTTTAGGGGTTTAGGGTTTAGGGTTTAGGTTTGGGGTTGAGGGTCCATGGGGTTACAGTAGAAGCCCAAGAGTTGGAAACCCAATAGCCTCAATCCTTAAGAGAAATGTATAGGGAACCCACGCACTATTTGGGCTTAATCCGGTTTCCAACTTTAAAGGGTTTACTGTAAGGGTTTAGTGTCAGTAGCAAGTGTTCAAGGTTCTTTTTTGGGGGGATTTCGCCTCGGGGACATGCGAATACTTGCGGTGTGGGACCCGGTCTGGAGATAGTCAAGACACGGGTTTCGGAACTGCAATGGCTGCCGCACAACGAGGAACACAAACAACACTGGGCTGAATGCTCTTTTGCTTCCTTCTGGATATACGGCGACGAAGTCAACCTTAGACCCTAAACCCCTATAAACCCTAAACCAATAAACCCATAAAGCCGCAAACCCCTAAAATCCCAAGCAGAGTCCTGCAGGCTGCATTCTCTGCCGGAGCCAAAGGCATTGGCGAACTGCCGCCGGACGTTGACGTAGGAGTGCCAACAGCCCCGGAAGCCGAAACCTCTCGGATGTGGGAATTAGGGCTTAAGGTACCTGATTAAGAAACCTGGGTCTGCATTAGAGTGTGAATCCTGATATTTTGAGGTTACAGAGCCAGGGTGGGTTAGGGTTGAATGTTACCCCAAACCACTACACGGTCTAGGGAGTTTAAGGGTTTAGGGGGCGGGTTAGGTATAGGGTGTGCTGTATCGCAGGGGGTGGGTGCTGGAGGGGGGTTGAGGCATACGGTCGCGCATAAACTCCAGTCTAATACCCTGAACCCTAAACGCCCAAACCCTAAACCTCTATAATCCCTGAACCCCTAAACCCCTATAAATCCCTCAACCCCTAAACCCCACTATCCCTAAACCCTTAAATTCCCTAAACACTAATATCCCTAAACCCCTAAACCCTAAACTCCTAAATTCCCTAAACACAGTACAAAATGCCACCGCCTTTTCGGCGGGTCTCGGGCTCCAAGAACTGACGGAGATCCGAAGGCCCATCGGTGCAAATCACGAAGCGTCGGCTCTGGGCTGTCCCTGAGGTTTAGGGTTTAGGGCTTTAGGGGTTTAGGGCTTTAGGGTTTAGGGCTTTAGGGTTTCGGGGTTCAGGGTTTCGGGGTTTAGGGCTTTAGGGTGTAGGTGTTTAGGGGTTTAGGGATTATAGGAGTGTAGGATTTGGGGATATAGGGGGCTTAGGGGCTCAGGATTTAGGGATATAGGTTTATGGGTGTACCTCAGGTTTAGGGTTTCCCAGGACCCCATAGGTAGGGCTGTTTTAACGGGTTCCCTTAAGAGGGGATCTATCAGGGATCGATACTCGGGTTCTGTGATCTAGGAGCCTAGATAATTACCAATACTATTTTGGTGGTTCCCTATTATAGTTACAGTAGAATGGGGTGTACCTGAGGTTTAGGGTTTCGGGTTTGGGGTTTAGGGGTTTAGGGTGTAGGGTTTGAGATTTAGGGTTAGGGAGTTAAGGGTTTAGGGTGGGGTTTCAGGTTTAGGGTGTGGGGTTTGAGGTTTAGGATTTAGGGTGGTGAGTTTGTTTGCAGGGTCGAGGGTTTGGGGCTTGGGTTTGGGGTGTAAGGTTCAGGGTTGGGGGTTTAGGGTTAGGGGCTTAGGGGCTTTAGGGTTGAGTGGATCTAAGATCTAAGAGTTCGGGTACAAGGGTTGAGGGCTGATGTGGCTTTGATCATTATTTTTTTATGCAAGCGCAGGGTCCTCGAAGGTTCTGGCTTTAGTCATATGCGGCTTTTCATTCTGGACGAATTCAACAGGGCCTATTAAGATGATTCTAGCACTGATTATAGCTGATTTCGGCTTTACTCGGGCGGCGCGGTTAAATGTATCCGGTTTCACCTTTAAGCCTGTGTAGTGGGATCTGAGACGTTGGAGCCTTCCTGTCAGGATTCTAGAGGGATCTTTTCTGATGCTGCTAGGGCTGAGTAAACATTACGGTAGGATTGAATAAGCCCCAAGAGGTTAAAGGTTAGCCACTCAGCTACTATGTCTTTCTGGGAGGATGTAGGATATATGACTTGGTTTCGGACCACCATGCTATAAACTGCCCCTAGGGCCCCAAACAGGCTCAAGTAGGTAGGCTTTAGGATTTATATCCCAAACGATCCACGCACCAAAATAGTAGGTACTTAGTAGACGTGTGGGCCGCCAAAGTATATACTATGCCATTAGGTAGACCCATTGGGTGGAAAGGAACCCTCAAAACGTATAGGTAGTTATTAAAGGCCCTACATCATAGAACCCTACTACAGATCCGTTATAGAACCCTTTAAAGGAACCCCTTAAAACTAAAGGAACCCTAAGGCAAGTACTAAGGCCCCTGTACTACTCTACACTGAACTTCGAACCCTAGCAAAAATAAAAACTTCAGCTGTTTCTTAGAGATTATAAAAACCAAAAATTAAAACATATCTCTAAGTACGCCTAAGTACTCATACAGGTCAGGCCGCGATCTCGTGGGCGGTGGACCAAGGAGCGTTCTTCCAGAAAGTGGTAGAAGTCTCGGAGAACTGCATCAAGGGTGTCCGCCTCAGAGGGTTCAGGGTTTAGGGTTTAGGTTTTAGGGTTTAGGTTTAGGGTTTAGGGTTTAGGTTTTAGGGTTTAGGGTTTAGGGTTTACTGTTTAAATAGGGTTTAGGATCCGGGGTGTCCGCCTCAGAGATTTTCGATGTTACCTTTCGTCTCCATTGTAATTCCTGATTCGCTTTATCAAGTTGTTGTAATTAGTTAACCCTAGAAGGTAACCCCAAAAAAGGAAATACAATGGAGACTATAGCCCAAAGGGTCCTATGTACTGTTATGGGGGATACTTTCCTGGATCCTAATAGTAAGCCCTAATATAGAAACCCTACATTCTACTATATCTGTACATAGGACCCTTTGGGTAGGTAGGGATTAGGATCCGATGTGTTTGCTTTTGGATCCTGGAGCTTTTGCTCGCTAGGTTCAGGTTTTAGGGTTTAGGGTTTAGGGTTTCGGGTTTGGGGTTTGGGGTTTAGGGTTTAGGGTTTAGGGTTTGGGGCTTAGGGTTTAGGGTTCAGTTTTAGGGGTTTCGGCTTCAGAACCTTTAAGGGGCTGTTAGTGCTTAGGCTGTACATCGGCTTTCCTCGCGGTTCGCTTAGAGTGGATCGGCGATTGACAGAGGCTGTACGGGCTAGTTGCACGGGGAACTGTGAGAAAGGTCATCTGTGTAAACCATCCGAACACAACATGGAAGTAGGCCACGAATACTCAACCAGACGTAATTACTCTCAAACCCTGAATACAAAACCCTAGAAGATACATCCCTATCGAGCTGAACCCTGAGCGGCAAATCCTGAACCCTCACGCCGAAATCCTGCAACCTAAACGTCATGTCCGAAACTCTTCTGCCCACTCCTGTACCCTGAGACCTGCACCCTCTACCCTCGTCCCCCCTATAGTCTCCGTTGTAGTTCCTCTTTGGCTTAACCATCAATATATTTACTATTCTTTAAGGCAGCCCAACAAGGAACTACCACGAGACATTGTTGGCCAAGGCCTAAGTAAATCATAAACCGTTACCCTGAACCCTAAGTAAATCCCGATGCCCACAACATGGAAAAAGTCTCTGCAACCCTTATAGAACCCTTAAAGGAACCGACCCCCGACAGGAACCCTTAAGTTTAAGGTAATTACATGGACCCTAAGGGTTGCATCCCCTCCCCTAAACCCGAAACCCTAAACTTTCCCTAAACCCTCAACTGAACCCTAAACGCTGAACCCCAAATAAACCCTAAACCCTAAACTAAATCCTAAGCCCTAAACCCCAAACAAAACCCTAAACCCCAAACTAAATCCTAAACCCTGGTAAACCCTGAACTAAACCCAAAACTAAACCCTAAACCCTACACTAAAGCCTAAACTAAATCCTACACCCTAAACTAAACCCTATACCCTAAACTATATCCGAAACCCTAAACTAAACCCTAAACCCTAAACTAAATCCTAAACCCTGAACCGGTCCTCAAAAGCCCAGCCCAGGCCTCCTCCACCCACTCCTGCTGGATGCCTGTCAGCTCCTTGCAGAAGTCCTGGCCGAACGCTGAAGCATCACCTTCATTAGAGTTTCGGAAAAAGACGGTACATAGATAGATATCTAGATAGACAGAGAGATAAAGATATAGATGGATAAATGAATAGACAGATGGATCGTGAGAGAGAGAGAGAGAGAGAGAGAGAGAGAGAGATAAAGATAGTTGGTTGAAGCCTTTGAGGTCGTAGTGGGGCTTAGGGTCCGCTGATTTGGGACTGCAATATAAAGGCACTCAGCCTTCAAGAGGCAATGTAGGCATTGATAAATTTAATAAGGACCCCCTCAAAAAAAACTATTGTAATTATTGTGGCTTATACAGTAGCCACTGGGCTGAAGCAGAAGCTGCATTGCTGCAGTCAGGAGTTGGACGTGTTTTTGGTTTCGCCTGCAAACTGCCATAGTACATAGTTACTTAAAGGATCATGGGACATAGTAACTAGGGTTATAATTACGCAGAGGCCCCAAAGTAGTTCCTTTTTGGGATTACCTTATAGGATTCTATATATGAACCCCAAAAAAGGAACTACTTTGGAGCCTTAGGGTAGGGTAACTATACTTATAACCCCAAGTAGGGTACTTATAACTTACTAAGTCCCATGATCCTCCAAGTAGTTGGTTGGTGAACATCATTTGGGCCTCCCGCTCTGCGAAACCCTGAACCCCTGGACCCTAAACCTTAAACCTCAGCTGCCCCAAGTAGTAGTAGTAGTAGTGGTAGTAGTAGTAGTAGTAGTAGTAGTAGTAGTAGTAGTAGTAGTAGTAGTAGTAGTAGTAGTAGTATAGTAGTTGTTAATAGTATATAGTATAGTAGCAACACATCCGACTCCGCCGCGGTAATGGGGCCACCGTCCAGACCAGACGTGACATCCCTGATGTCTGCTGCTGGCCCATCACCGGCACTGTCTCACGCTGCTGCCGCTCCTCAGGGTCCGCCCTGACCTCTGGCTCAGGCTTGCGCTTGGGAGCGCGCTTCTTTTTGGCAACCGCCTTTGCCAGTGGGGGTACAGAAAGCAGCCACCACCATACAGGATTGAAACTTCTTTGCTCTTCGCAATTTCACGGTTCTCAAAACCAATAGCCCACCGCCCCATCCACGCTCGGGGTGGGAGGAACTTCCGCGCTTGGTCCCGCCGTGATGCCCTCGTAGGAAATCACCCAGCCACTGATGTTCGTGGCCACGAGAAACTTCTCAGTGCTGCCAGCCGTGATCCTGAACTGGGCTTCAGTCACCCAGCTCGTGTGGTGCAAACATACAACAGATGCCTTGTAAACTTATAATCGGGGTTTTGGCATGTGGGCCTGCGTTATAAGCAGATGTTTTTGGTACTTCTTCCGGCCACCATATTTGATTTATGTAACAATGAAGCCCAGTAACCCTGAATTTACTGAACTGGCGAACAATGGAAGACTGCAAAAGCCATCAACGCACACCCTGCGTGGGTCCGAGAGAAGTGGCTTCTCTGTAGGACGGACGTAGCGATGGAACTCGAACTCAACCTGCATCACAGTTAGAGTCTGAGGTCAAGGTTTGAAGCTTTGCCTTGAGGATGTACTTAAAGGATGGTGGGACTTAGTAAGTAGGTTATAATTGGGGTTATAAGTCCCCTTAGTGGGGTTATCCTAGCTATAACCTACTTATAGCTTTACTTACTAAGTCCCATGAGCCTTTAAGTAGGGTTGTTGGTTCGTTGTCTCAAGTTGATGCTGGCACTCTTTCTCCCTGCTTCTGTTCTTTGAACCAGGGTATGCAAGTCGTTCCTCCTACTTGCTTCCTTTTTTGCTGCTTCGGCCCGTTGCCCCCAACTAGTGTTAAAGTCAGGTACTGCCCTCTTACAGTAAGAGTCTATAATAAGGCTACTAAGGGTCCTAATATACCTTTATTATGGATAATATTATTCCACTATTGCTGAATCGGAGCCGTAGCCAATGTTCAAGGTTATACAACAAACCTTCTCGGCACAAAAGATGCCGACACCCTACTTATCAACACTACCTCTTGTGCGAAAACAACACCTCGGGTAATTGCCTTGAACACCTTCCAAACCCCTGACAAAAAAGTACAACAACTCCACAGGGAATGCGAACCCCCCGATTAGCAACTCCCTTTCTTTAAGGGCCTTCAGATTGGATCCTTATCATGATCCCCTTTGCCGTAGGGGTTATGCATCCACGCTTAGGTTATATTGCAAGACTCCACGAAACCGGGACGAAACCGGACTGAAAACACACTAGATACCCACATAGCCCGATAAACAACCTATGAGCCCGAAATACCCTACAACCCTTGTAAGCGGCAGACCCGAAACTCATTCCCTGCAAAGGAACCCCGCAGGGCCTGATAGTCAGAAGGGGCTGGCCGCAAACGAACCTAAACCCTAAACCCTAACTCCCACGGGCCTCCAGCGTCTCTGCGTTCACAAAGACTACGGGGAACTCGATGATCTCATGCCTGAATTTCCTGCGAAGTGCAAGACTTCTTCGGAGCTGGGGTTTAGGGTTTAGGGCCGGTTTAGGGGTTTTTATTTATTTTTGTTTTTGAGCCCTCTTTTCCTTTCGCCCTCTTTTCCTTTCGCCCAAAGGTGAAAGGTCTAGGGGTTTAGGGGTTTAAGATTTACGGTTTAGAGGTGAAGGTGCTGTCCTCGTAGCTCCCATGTTGCAGCAGGGCTCTGTGCAGCTGCGACCAACCCTAAATCTCAAATCCTTTCGAAAAGAGCACCTGAAGCCTAAACACAGGCAACGCAGAAACCACTAAAACGAATCCTGGCTTGGGAAAACCTGTTCACGCTGCGAGCAGACGCGTGGAGCGTCCAGCATGGAGCCTGTTCAGGCTTCTGAAACTGTTTGGGTTTGAAGGGGTCCGCCATCTGCTCGCTCCACACAGCAACGATCACGTCAAGGGACTCCCGATCATGCCTCATCTTCATCAAACAACCGTCATGTCTCACCGGCCAACGACAAACATGCAAGGGTCGGAACTATAGATGGATAGAAATCTTGCATTACCTTAAAGATCCTAAACTATGGGAGTTATGGTAAATTCCTTATTATGGGTCATGCAGGAGTTATATCATCAACCGTAGTATAATTGTAGTACAATAGAGCCCCAGAGCCTCTTTGACCCCCAAACTCCTGAGTCCAACCTCGTGACGTCCCGACCTCATGAAAACTGCTGGGATATTTCCCCAAACACTAAACCCGAAACCCGACACCCTAAACCCCTAACCCTACCTTAACCCCGAAGAACCTACATTTTTAAGGACTTATATAAAGAAATCGTAGTAAAGAACCCTAAAAAGGTAGGTTCTTCAGGGTCCAGGTAAACCCTGTCTGAACCCTAAGCCCTAAACTTGAGGTCTTCCGGTCCCTACATCCACTGGGGCAGTCCTCTCCGTGCTCCTCTTGTCGCAGGTGCACTCGAAGTCGACTATGGCATAATAGTCCTGAGCTCTCGCTACGGAACAACGTGGGTTTGAGGTTTAGGATGTAGGGTTGAAGGGTGCAGGGTTTGGGGCTTAGGATTCAGGATTCAGGGTTGAAGGGTGTATGGTTTGAGGCTTTAGAGCGAGAGGGTTTCAGTCCTTTGGGGTTTAAGCTTAGGCTAGAGCTGCATTTACTTCATTGTGGATCCTTGCGTAGGCGAACTCAAGTGTAAGGGCTTGGATCAGACACTAAACAACACACAACGAAACCATTGGTATATTATGATTTGTACTTGGGTTTGGGAAAGTAGCCATGTAGGTTGATCTTTGCGAATATGACTGCTAAATGAACTTAAAACGTAATTGGAACCTTAGGGCTAACTGCAGAGACTCCAAAACCCCTTAATGCAAGAATATACCTGAAATCATATCAGGGATCCAATTATGTATGGTTTAGGGTATATTCCTCAATTCAGGGTTTTGGAGACTCTGGAAACTCCAGGTGCAAGGGTCCACTGCTGCAGTTAGACCATCTGCCTGGTCTGCGTCGTCCTTAGCAGGGGATGGGATTGGCTTCTGTCGGTTTTATAAGGAAGGCTTCATGGTTTAGGGTTTTATAGGGCTTTCAGGGTCTGGTTTAGGGTTTTATAGGGCTTCCAGGTTTTATGACGGTCCCATACTGCTCTTGAACTTCTCTGGGCAGCTCAACACAGGTCATCACAAGAACTTAGGGCCTAGTGGTTTATGGCTTCGGGTGTCAGCGTAGGTTTAGACTTCAGCGCTTTATGGCTGAGGGGTCATGGATTTTGTCGTACGGTTTCAGGTTTCACGTAGGGCTTCGGAGTGCAAGCTTGCTGTGCTTCGAGGCCTGCCAGGATCAATGCTTGTTCCTAGACCCCCAAAAGTAGGTACAGCTCTTCTTACCGCAACATGGCTTGGTGAAAACTGCAGGCTCGACGCTTCGGAAGATGTATGACCCGAGCCCACATCCCAACAAGTAGCAAACATGGGTGTGTCCTTCTGAACTTTATCCTCTTCGGGCCACCTCTGAGACTCAAACTGCGATTTTGATGGCTTAACTGGGACCCCGCTAAAGAATCCCACAGCAAGTGGGATGCCTGGCACGAGGCATTTTCAAGTCTATCCAAGGGTAAAAGGAGGGACCCTTAATAAGGACCCCTAGCTATATACCCTTGATAAAGGTATTCTATACCCATGATATCGCCCCATTATAGGGCAGGGGTCCCCATTAAGGGTCCCTCCTTTTCCCCTTTGAGTCTATGTACCCGCTAGCCTATGTAAACCAGGCTCCAACCGGCTTAGGCAGGGTACTGACATAGGCTGTAAAACCAAAGAGTAGGTACTGCGTGTATACATGGAGCCCCACGAGGAAGACACCCTGTGGTTATCAGCTTTTTTCGTACGAGACAAACACGCACCAATTCCCGCATTCAGCATCAGAACACTTCAAAGAAGCTGAACAAAACTCTTAAACAAGTGCTAACCAACTTCTGCAGCAACCCAAAAAGGGAAACTTGACCCCTGAGTAGCCCTGAACACTGCAGAACTACAAACTAAACTCTGAAAGCCCCAACCCAAACTCTGAACCCCGAAGCCAACGACTCGACACCCTAAAAGAGGGCCCCAAACCGCAGAGTACCCATATAATCATTATATATATATATATATGTAATTATTGAAACCCTCATAGAACCCCAAACCCCAAACCCAAAAGCACTTAACGGAGCCCCAAACTAACCCCCGCCAAAGCCCCTTGAAAGAGGAAACCCTTAAAGGAGACCTGACCTTCAAAGAGACCCTTAAAGGGAACTCCAGAAAGTTGGAATATGGTTTCAGGGTAGGATACCCTGTAATTTACCGTAAAGGGCTTAGAATAATCATATTCCAACTTTCTGGCTTTTACTTTAAAGGTTTAGGAACCCTAAACTAAAGCCCACCCCATCCCCAAAGCCCTACAAAGAGACCACGACAGGATCTCTGAACCCTAAACCCTGAAAGGAACCCGAAGCTCAGGGCCCCCCCCAAAGCCCTTGAAGGAGGAGGAGCCCTGCCTCACCGGCCGTCGACTCCAAGAGCTGCGCTTCAGGCAGCTCCATTGCCGAAATGAGGCGTGTTCTTGTTGCTTTTGCTTTTTGTTTTGGAGTTTTTGGGTCTTGTGACATTTTTGGTGGTTGGCTTTGCTGTGGTGGTTTCGAACGTTTTCTTGCGTTTAAGTTGCTGGGAAGTGTTATGTGGTTTGTTGGGTTTCGTTCAGGTTGTGTGGGGGTTGCTTGCCGGAGTCTGTTTAGGGCTCCTTCTATCACAAGGGATCCGAGAATGTGTTTTTCAACAAGGTTCATTGCAGGGACCCCTATTGAGGGAGCTATAAACAGGAATCTATGACATTCCGGGATCTAGAATCTACAAGTAGGGGTGTATGATATATGATACCTGTTCTTTAAAGGAAGTCCTCGACCTCAAAGCTTGCGGAATCGAGTGCCTAATGCGCCATGTGTGTATCATGCACATGGGTGGATGTGGCGCGGTACCTGAATCATTAACCCAGAGAACATCGTTATCAGACACATATATGACCTGTCTGACACAACCAAAACTCAGTGCTAAAAACGCAGGCGTCCGACTGCAGCCTGTGCTCGAACATGAAAAGAACATTCAGAACTGAAACCTCGTTCATCTCCCATCACATGCACCAGTTGCATTGCGAAACTTCTGCTATAGCCTATACTTAACTCCTTATAACAACAACCCAGATCGGTTTAAGGGACTACTGGGCTCCTTACGGGTCATAGCCGACCCGCGACCGAGCTTCAAGACCCTAGACGGATGCTCTACAGTCCAAGCCCCAAAGAAGGATATAATCTCAACCGCCCCCAACCCCCTCTTAACTGCACCTATCGTCTCTATTGTAGTTCCTGTTTTTGTTTAACAGACTTTCTGTTTAGGATCTTATACGGAAGCAAAAGGTGAACTATATACAATAGAGACTACAGGTAGACCCTAGGCCCTAGGCCCTAAACATCGTCAAGCTCCTAAGTCGTAAACTCTCTACCCTGAGCCCTAAAC